ACAGGAAAATAGCATCATTATAACTTGGTAACAATCTATAAAGCCAACTAGAAAAGATTAGTTGTACATGAAGACTCATTTTCCAATAAACACAGCATTTCAGAAGCACTGTAGACTCCTGCTTGCCTAGAGATTGAGCAATTGGCAATCAAACTAAGGTCAGCTACATAGCAATGAAGAACATTTCCATTAGCCCAGGATGACTTTTTGATAAATCCATTTAATCATGCTACTGGAAAGTAATAGATTATAACCAATAATAGCTCCTAACTGCTTATAATTATATGGATTACATATTGAATGATAGTGATTACACTCTGTTAACTAACCTACAAAATAATAATCTACCTCACTAGATAAAGAACCTTATCTATAACTCCTTGTTTAATCTCATCTGGTGTTTATGCAGACATTAATTACTATACACAGGACTACAAATACTGTTTGGCTATTTGTGATAGCATGCAAATTCAACTTCCCACTAGTATATGATCTGAACATAAAAGATAAGGAGTAATCCAAGAAATCTTTAAATTCTTAATCTAAAACAAATTATTAACAAACTACCAAATTACATTAGATTTAACTTTCTCAGTTCCGTAATTTCTATTTGGTCTTCTTCCCCACACAGAGTTCCTAAAACCCCTGGAATTTTCTAAGTGATGAGTGATACTGGTGAGAGTAAGGAGGTTTTTGTTATTCATAACAAGCCCCTTTCATCCACACCTGAGTTTGTTAATAAGGTGACTTTTACAAAACCCTTCAGGATGGGAGTTGATTAACAGAAGAACCAACTTTGTGATTAGATGCTATCCACATCCCTCTCCTCCCTGCCAGTGTGGAGAGAAAAGGGAGAAGATTGGGGAGAAGTTGAGTTAATCACTGATAGTCAGTGATTTAGTCAAACATGCCTATGTAATGAAGCCTCCATAAAAAACCCTAGCTGAAGGATTTTGGAGAACTTGCAGGTTGGGGAATAACAATTCATCCATGTGCTGAGAGGGTGGCACACCATAAACTTTACAAGGACAGAAATACCTGTGCTCCAAATCCTTCTGTATCTCGTCCTATGTATCTCTTCATCTGGCTATACATTTATATCCTCTGAAATGTGCTTTTTAATGAACGAATAACAGTAAGTAGAGAAGATTTCAGAGTTTGGTGAGCTGTTCTAGCAAATTATCAAACCCAAAAATGATGTTATATAAACCTCCAATTATCATCAGTTGGTCAGAAACACAGGTAACAGCCTAGACTAGCACCTGCTGACTGATGTGGTGGGGCAGCCTTGTGCAACTGAGCCCTGAACCTATTGGATCTCATGCTATCTTCAGGCAGATAGTATTGGAATTTAGTTAAACTGTATAACATCCAAGTGGGTGTTGAAGAATTGCTTAGTATGGGGAAAAAACAAAAAACATATTTTGTGGCCAGAAATGTTCTGTAAGTAGTGTAGTAGAGAAAAACAGGAATGTTTTCCTCCCACTACATAAATAATACAGATATCTGGTAGGTAGTGGGAAGAAGTTTGACAATACTCAATTTCAGAGACACAGGTCTCTATACCATACAAAATCACCAAGTTGAACTAAAAAAAAGTGTATAAAAATTATAAAAATCTGCCCTGGCTGGCGTAGCTCAGTGGATTGAGCGTGGGCTGCGAACCAAAGTGTCGCAGGTTCGATTCCCAGTCAGGGTACATACCTGGGTTGCAGGCCATGGCCCCCAGCAACCGCACATTGATGTTTCTCTCTCTCCGTCTTTCTCCCTCCCTTCCCTCTCTAAAAAATAAATAAATAAAATCAAAAAACAAAAAAAAGAATTAAAAAAAATAAAAATAAATAAAAAAAATTATAAAAATCTAAAACAACTTAAACATAGTTCTGGAATAAGATTACACTCACAAGAATTATGACTCTAACACTAGCATAATCATTCACTTAAGATCAGTTTGCTTCATCTAGCAATAACGAAATACACAATTAAACATTAAAATAATTTACTCATTCTATAAATGTACTGAATTTCACTGTCAAAATTGAAAAAAAATGAGATCCTCTATTCTAAATAGAGAGAAAAATCTTAATAAAAATCATATAATAAAAAAATTACAGGTCAATATCCAATGAACATAGATGCAAATATTCTCAACAAAATATTATCAACTGGATTCAACAATACATTAAAAGGATTACATGCCAAAACTAAGTGGGATTCATCCCAAGGATGCAAGGATGGTTTAACATCTGTAAATCAGTCAATGGGATGCATCACATTAACAAAATAAAGGATAAAAACCATATGATCACCTCAACAGATGAAAAAAAACGGCATTTGACAAAATTCAACATCCTTTTATAATAAAAATGCTCAACAAATTGCATATAGAAGGAACATATCTCAACATAATAAAGGCATTATACAGCAAAACCCAGAGCTAATATCATATTCAATGGTGAAAAGCTGAAAGCTTTCCCTCTAAAGACAAGATTGCCCACTATCATCACTTCTATTCAATACAGTATTTAAAGTCCTAGCCACAGCAATCAGAGATTAAAAAAGAGTGAAAAAAGGCATACAAATTGGAAAAGAAGTAAAACTCTCATTATTCATAGATGACATGATACTATATATAGAAAACCCTAAAGACTTCACCAAAAACTATTAGAACTAATAAATCAATAAAATTTCAGGCTAAAGAAATCTATTGCATTTCTATACAGCAACAATGAACAATGAGAAAGAAAAATTAAGGAAACTATCCCACTTATAATTGCATCAAAGCATACATTACCAAAGAATAAATTTCACCAAAGAGGTAAAGAGCTGTACTCTGAAAACTATAAGACATTGAAGAAACTGTAGAAAATACAAGTAAATAAATGATTATACCTTGCTCACAGGTGGAAGGATTAATATTGTTAAAATGTCCTTATTGTCTAAAGAAATATACAGATCCAATGCAATCCCTGTTAAAATACCAATGGTATTCTTCTAAGAATTAGAACTAATCCTAGAATTTATATGGAACCACAAAAGACCCAATATAGCCAAAGAAATTTTAATAGAACAAAGTAGGTGATATTACATTCCCTGGCATAAAATTATAATATAAAGTTACAATAATTGAAACAGTATGGAACTGGCATAAAAAAAGATAAATAGATCAATAGATCAATAGAACAGAATAAAGAGCCCAGAAATAAATCCTTGCTTACATGATCAAATAGTCTACAACAAAGGTAGCAAGGATATACAATGGGGTAAAGAAAGTCTCTTCAGTAAGTGGTGTTGGGAAACTGAAACAGACACATGCAGGAAAAAAAAAAAAAGACCTCTTATACCATAAAAAACAAGAACTACAATACTGAAAATGGATTTAAGATCTGAAATCATAAAACTCCTAGAAAAAAACATAGACAGTAATCTCTTTGACATCCCTCTTAGCAATATCTTTTGGATATGTCTCCTTGGGCAAGGAAAAAAGAAAAAAATAATAAACACATGGAACTACATCAAACTAAAAAGGTTTCACACAGTGAAGGAAACCATCAACAAAATGAAGGCCATACTGAATGGGAGAAAATATTTGCAAATCATATATCTGATTAAAGGTAAATATTCAAAATATTTAAGGAAGTCATACAACTTAACACCAAAAAAAGATAAACGATAGAATTTTTAAAAATGGGCCGAGTACCTGAATAGACATTTGTCCAAAGAGGACATACAGATAGCTACCAGACAAATGGAAAGATGCTCAACAGCACTAATTATCAGAAAAATACAAATTAAAACCACAATGAGAATCTCACACTGGTCAAATGGCTATTATCGATAAATGAACAAATAACAAGTTCTGGCAAGGATGTGGAAAAAGGAAAGCTTTGCACACTGTGGGTAGGATTGTAAATTAGTGAAGTATCAAAAATAGTATGGAATTCATGTTTAAAATTTACTTAAAAAAATTGAAAATACAGTTGCTATAGATCCAGCAATTCCACTTCTGGGTATTTATTTGAAGAGAATAAAAATAATAATTTGAAAAGATACATGTGCTTCTATTCATTTCAGCATTACTAATACCAGTTGTGATATGGAAGCAACCTAGATGTCCATCAATAGATGAATGGACAAGGAAGATGTGATATAGATACATATATACATATACATATATACACATATATGTGTCTAGATATATATTTCAACAATAAAAAATGAAATCCTGCCAATTGCAATGACATGGATGGACCTAGAGGGTATTATGCTAAGTGAGATAAGTCATACCAAGAAAGAAAAGTACTGAATGAGTTTACTTATATGTGACAATCTACAAAAACAAAAGAAATGAGTAAACAAAACAAAACAGACACAGATTCATAGCTATAGAGAATAGCTGATGGTTGTAAAAGGGAAAGGGAGTTGGGCTCTGAGAATTTCAAAAAATTAACTCTATATCTGATCTTTTCACAGTTTTTGGTAAATAAGTAAATAAACAAATAACCAATCATCTAGCCTCAGTTGACTTCTAGGACTTTTTTTTTTTAACAGCACAGTAATTTTGGAAAGAAATGATATCAGCAATATAAAAAAATTTATATCAGTGTTTTGCAAGCTGTATTCTGCAAACCCCAAGGAATTTTGCTCAAAGGTATGCCTTCTTTAGCCATGGGACATTCTGGAATTCCACTTACTTATTCTCTTCTCTTCAATTCTAATTCTTCCCCTTCAAACAGAGAAATTACAGTTTTGACTATTGTTTACATAATGAAGTTTTGCTAAAGATTTTCTTTGGATAAAAGGTACCACCAGTAAAATCAAACAAATAAACTAGCCAAACGATACAATTTGAAAATTTATAAAGTTCATCACTGTGAGCATGTTAAAACTTCAACAAGATTTCGATTTGATTTGATTCTGATATTTATATACAGTTTAAAGCAAAGTTATTAACAATCAAACTTTTCATTTCAGATTCACAGAAAAAGTAAACACCTTACCCAGTATGACTAGATGATGAAGGTGGTGGCAAGTCTGGTGTAAGAACATAAAGACTGTTGTTTTTTGGCAAATGTAGCGATTTTAAGACCGTCTGAAAAAGAAAACACAAAAAGCAAATACTGACTGTCCATTTTTTCTGTTGATTGTGCATTGTTAATTTTTTCCTATAGTTCTTGAAAAACTGTCAATATTATAGTTTGACTTTTCATCCTTTGACAATTTCCTAGAGTAATACACAAGAACTACTAAATGAAAATAACCTTGTTTCTCCCATATATAAATTAGCACAAATATGAATGTTAAAATAAAAATTCTTTGGCTCATGAAGAGATATAAATAGATAACACAGTTAAGATATTAATATCCTCACTGAAAAGTATATCCTTGCAACTAATCACTTCATTCCAGCCAAAATTAACAATGTAGGCTTTCAGAGATCATCAGATGCAGAAAAGATCTTAGAGAGCACCTCAACTTTATAGATGAGAAGCTGCAGCCTGAGAAGTAAAGTGACTTGGATGAGGTCTCTATTAAGTGTTATTTAAGTCACTTATGTCACTTTCCTCTTAACTCCTTAACTCATTTGGTTTGGCACTGTCCCACAAAGTGGAAAGTTGCTGGTTTGATCCCAGTCAGAGCACATGGCTGGGAAATGGGTTCGGTCCCTGGCTGGGGCACATAGGAGAGGCAACCAATCGATGTTTCTGTCTTACATCGATGTTTCTCTCCTTCTCTTTCTCTCTCACTTTCCCTCTCTCTGAAAATAAGTAAATAAAATCTTTAAAGAACAAACAAACTCCTACATACCTTTCGAAGTCCCAACTTGATGGTAAATACTTGCTAATGTACTGCAAACATTTTTTGATAGCAGTAAACATTAAGAAACACATTTTACATCTTTACATCATAACCCAGGACATACATATCTATTCAACAGATATATACTGAGTTACCTACTCTGTGTCAGAACTGTTCTAAACCCTAAGAATGTAGCAGTGGACAGAATAGCCTAACACCCCTGATATTAGGGAGCTTACACTTTAGTAGCAATAAATAAATAAGTAATCTATATAACTGAGTATTAGAAAGTGATTTTTTTTCTATTAAACACAAAGTAGGGATGGAGAGGTGAAGAAAAAAAGGATGGGGAGTTATATAATTTTAAACTGGGTGATCAGGGTAGTTCTCATTTGAGCAAAGACATTAAGGTGTTGAGGAAACCATAAGAATATATAGAAAAAAATATTCCAGGCAACATCTAGGCAAAATGCCTAATAAAAACAAGGAACCCTGGCCAGGTGGCTCAGTTGGTTGGAGTCTTATCCCATACACCAAAAGGTTGAAGATTCAATTCCCAGTCAGGGCACATACCTGTGTTATGGGTTCAATCCCCTGTTGGGGTGTGTACAGGAGACAACCAATCAATCTATCTATCTCCCTCTCCCTCTCCCTCTCCCTCTCCCTCTCTCTCTCCCAATAAACATATCCTCAGCTGAGGATTTACAAAAAAGAACGAACAAGAATACCAATGTAACTGAAGCCAAATGAGCACTGGTAGGAAACAGGTCAGAGTGATTAACAGTAATGGTAGGAGCAGGAAATGTGTTGAGCCATTTAAGCTTATGTAAGGGCACAGAATTTTACTCTGAATAAGATGGGAAATTATTGGAGTGATATGATTGAATCATGGTTAAGAAGGATCACTTTGTCAGCTGCACTGAAAATGGATGGGAAAGGTGCTGACAGGAGAGCAGAGGCACAGAGGAGGCTAATGAAATATACTAAGATGAGGCTGATAATAGCTTATACCAGTGTGGTGCAGTAGAAACACTACAAAATAGTTGAATTCTGAATATATTTTGAAGGCAAAACCAAAAGGATTTCCTGACAAACTGGATATGTGTTATGACAGAAAGGAACTGATAATTAACTAAAAGATAACAGAATGAACAACTGGAAGGAAGGAGTTGTCCTCAACTGAAATGGGGAAGAATGTAGATGAAAAAAGACCTCCCCTTTAGACATGGGGGTTTGAAGCATGTATTAAGACATTCAAGTGGAGAAGATAAGTAAGCAGCTGAATATATCAACCTGGAATTCAGGGAACAGGTTTGGGGAGGAAAGGAATTAGAAACAACAGATACAGACAACTATTGGGGGAAGTTTTGTTATCAACGAGACTAGAGAAATGAAGTGATTTTCTAAAAGCAGGGATGGGGTCAAGAGAAAAATGGAAGAAATAACATCATGTTTGAATATTCATTGTAGTGCTCTACTAGGGGAAAATGCTGGTGATGCAGAAAAGGCAGGAAAGAGTGAATAGGCCAGAGGGGATACATAATGGTACCCAAAGCGAACGTGGAAGCTGGGTCTTAGAAGATTGAACCGACCATCTAGAGCAGTAATTTTCAACCAGTGTGCTACAAGAATTTTTAAAACATGCAATACCTGACAATTTAGTCATGGGCACTGACCTCTTTTTTTGAAACTGTCAAAAAAAAATGACAACAGCCAACATAACAATAGCTATCAACAATAGTCTGATATGAATGCCCTGTCTTGAATCTTGCATCTTACTGGTCACATTGTAAAACTAAGCTTGCATCTAATTCGTTAATTCTTGGTACCAGGAATCCTTACATACAAGTACAGACACCTGATTTTTTTAAAAAATCACTTTGGAACAAAAATGGTAGGTATTACTATTATTATTTTTATTGTTGTTTGTAAATCAATCACAGTTATACTCCTTTTCTGTCAGATCAGCAAAAAATACATTTTTTGGTGTACTGCAGAATTTTAGTGATTAGTTTATGTGGGCCATGAGATGAAAAAGTTTGAAAAATCACTGATTTACAGTAACAGGAGAAAAGGATAGTGTGTATATAAGATACGAGTAAGTAAACAGAGACCAAGTTGGGGGCTTATAGAAATTCTCTTGTAATTGCCTTTATTTTTTGTCCATGAAACAAAATAAAAAATGAAGTCATCAGCTGGGAGAGAGAATAGGGGAGAGGTGTTTTGACGGTCTGGGGAAAGGATAAGTATAAAAGTGCCACTTAGGAGAGTGTGGATAAACCTGGATAAATCATATATTATGTCTGCACAGCAACATTAAGAGGCCCGCTGAAAATCATGGTCATAAATTTAAAGACACATCAACCAGCATGATTTTGTTTGTCTACAATCACATTTATTTATGAGGCACAGAAGAAAAAATGTTGGATTTATTCAAGGTAAGGATTTTTATCAAGCAAGATCCATGAAGCAAGAGTTGAGGCTATACACAAGAAACTGATTATAAGACTGACTGTGGAATTTAACCAATTGTAAGGAAGGAAGAGAGGGCATGAAAGAGGTAATGATCATGAAAGGTAGCACAAACAGTGGATTGTTAAGTATAAATGGGGCTGAAGGATTGTTGGAGTTAGGAGACCAAAGGAAGTTAGCTAGAAAAATGAGAGATGTTGAGAAGAAAATGGAAGCTTGAAATTAAAATTTGAGAATTGTTATAAATAAATGATTAAAACCATGGGAAGATATGACTGATACAGAGGGGGAAAAAAGTTCAAGGAACTGAGAGACCAAGGTGTTGCAAGAATCACTTAAAAAGATATTAAAATTTCTAAGAATTAAGATGGAGAGCAATCATAAACCAGAAACCTACAACCTTTTGGTATATGGGACAACAGTCCAACCACCTGAGCCACCCAGTCAAGGCTAGGTGACATAATCTTTTTTTAATCCTCACCCAAGCACATTTTTCATAGCTTTTTAAAGAAAGAGGAAGGGAGAAAGAGAAACATTGATGCAAGAGACAAGAATTGATTGGTTGCCTCCCACATGTGCCCATACCAGGGATCACATGCACCCAGACTAAGGACCAAACCCACAATCTAAGTATGTGCCCTGAGGGGGAATCAAACCTACAATCCTTTGGTTAAGTACAACGCTCAACAAACTGAGCCACACTGTCCAGGGCTGGTGATATTTCTTGACATGAAATTCAAAGTTGAAAGTTTTTAGGGAGGAAGTAATAATAATGATATAAAAGTGGAAATAAGGAAAATAATGACATACAGCATTCCCCCTTATCCATGGATGATAGGTTTCAATACCAGTGGATGTCTAAAACTGCAGAATGCTACATGTACTATATTTTTTCCTATACATATGTACCAATGACAAGACTTGATTTATAAATTAGGCATAGTAAGAAATTAAGCATAACTAATAATAAAATAGAACAATTATAAAAACATACTGTAATAAAAGTTATATGAATGTGGTCTCTGTCAAAATATCTTATAGTACTCCACAGAAAAAGTTTGCTGACCCCTAATCTAGCACAGCACTAACTTAGTACCTAAATCTCTCTTACCAACCCAAAATTCCTGTAAATATCTTGAAACACTCAAAATCTCCATATATCAAGCAAACTCACATATAAGTATGTATAAGCACAATATCTACCAGAAGCCATTGACAAAGAAAAAAATGAACCAAAAGTTAAAGATTCTAATTTTATTTTGCCTTAAACATCTCACAATTCAGAGTTAACTCACTTATTTCAATTTATCCCCTTCTGTCAGCAAAAGAAAAAGGGTATAAAATATTCTATACTTAAGGCTGCTAATACATCCCTGAGAATAGCAACTACTACCTTAAATGTATAAAACTTTTTAAAATTCTTATCATTCAATCCATGCCCCTGCCACTTACCCAAATAAACAAAGAAATATTCCTACCATTTAAAATTACCAATGTAAGGCACAACTACAGACTTCCAGCCAAGATGGAGGCGTAGGTAGATGCACTGTGCCTCCTTGCACAACCAAAAGAAGAAAAACAACAATTTAAAGACAAAAAACAACCAGAGCCGACAGAAAACTGAACTGTATGGAAGTCTGACAACCAAGGAGTTAAAGCAGAAACATCCACCCAGACTGGTAGGAGGGAAGGAAACAGGCAGCTGGGCTGAGAGGACTCCTGGCAAAAGGGTGGTGGAGGATCGGACGGGAAAGGCAGCAGCTGGGAGACAGCAAGGCAGCAGCTGGTGGAGCCGGCAGTCCCACATTTACGTGCGGATAAACTGGGTGGAACACCTGGGGAGCGAGACAGCCCTCACAACCTGGGGTCCCAGCACAGGGAAATAAAGCCTCAAACCACTGATGGAATACACCTGTGGGGGTTGAGGCAGCAGCAGGAGAAATTCCCAGCCTCACAGGAGAGTTTGCTGGAGAGACCCACAGAGTCCTAGAATGTGCACAAACCCACCCATCCAGGAATCAGCACCAGAAGGGCCCACTTTTTTTTTTTGCTTGTGAGTAGCAGGGAAGTGACTGAAATCTGGCAGAGAGCAGAGCAAGTGCCATTATTCCCTCTTGACCCTGTACAGTGTCACAAAGCAGCTACATGGGTTGCCCCGCCCCGGTGAACACCTAAGGCTCCGTCCCTCACTACGTAACATGGGTGTCAAGACAAAAAAGAAAAAATGGCCCAAATGAAAGAACAGATCAAAGCTCCAGAACAAACACAACTAAGCAATGAAGAGATAGCCAACCTATCAGATGCACAGTTCAAAACACTGGTGATAAGGATGCTCACAGAACTGGTTGAATTTGGTTGCAAATTAGATGAAAAAATGAAGGCTATGCTAAGTGAAATAAAGGAAAATGTACAGGGAACCAATAGTGATGGGAAGAAAACTGGGACTCAAATCAATGGAATGGACCAAACGGAAGAAAGAAACAATCAAACAGAAAAGAATGAAGAAACAAGAATTCAAAAAAATGAGGCAAGGCTTAGGAACCTTCAGGACATCTTTAAACATTCCAACATCCGAATTATAGGGGTACCAGAAGGGGAAGAGGAAGAGCAACAAGTGGAAAACTTATTTGAACAAATAATAAAGGAGAACTTCCCCAATCTGGCAAAGGAAATAGACTTCCAGGAAGCTCAGAGAGTCCCAAAGAAGTTGGACCCAAGGAGGAACACACCAAGGCACATCATCATTACATTACCCAAGATTAAAATGAAGGAGAGAATCCTAGAAGCAGCAAGAGAAAAGAAGACAGTTACCTACAAAGGAGTTTCTATAAGACTGTCAGCTGATTTCTCAAGAGACCTTACAGGCAAGAAGGGGCTGGAAAGAACTATTCCAAGTCATGAAAGGCAAGGACCTACTTCCAAGATTGCTCTATCCAGCAAAGCTTTCATTTAGAATGGAAGGGCAGATAAAGTGCTTCTCAGATAAGGTCAAGTTAAAGGAGTTCATCATCACCAAGCCCTTATTATATGAAATGTTAAAGGAATTTATCTAAGAAAAAGAAGATGATCAAAAATATGAACAGTAAAATGAAAGCAAACTCAGTTATTAACAACCACACCTAAAATAAAAGCAAACTAAGCAAACAACTACAACAGGAACAGAACCACAGAAATGGAGATCACATGGAGGGTTAGCAAAAGGGGAGTAGGAGGAGAAGAGAGGGGGAAAAGGTACAGAGAATAAGCAGCATAAATGGTAGGTAGAAAATAGACAGGTGGAGGTTAAGAATAGTATGGGAAATGTAGAAGCTAAAGAACTTATATATATGACCCATGGACATGAACTAAACGGGGCGGGGGGGGGGGGAATGTGGGTGTGCAGGGTGGAGGGAAATAAAGAGGGGAAAATGGGACAACTATAATAGCATAATAAATAAAATATATTTAAAAAAAAGAAAATGCACAACTCTAAAGTTAATGGAGCTAAATAGATAAATAAAAATAAAATTACCAATATAAAAATTTTCCCTATTATCTTTGTTCTATAATCAATACATGGCACCATGTATACTCTATGTATGACATCTTTCAGACCAGCAAGCAATTGTTCATTAAATTATTATCCCAGAGCACTCACTGACACCCTATGAGATTTAAGAAAAAGGTAAAACCTTCCAAAAAACAGTGTCAAACTCCTATAAAATAGTTAGAAATACAAAAAATATGCTACATAGTGTTTTCATTTATACACTGAACTCCTTTATTTTATTATTTTTATTTTTTTAAGAGAGGGGAAGGAAGAAAGAAAGAGGAGAGAAACATCAATGTGTGGCTGCCTCTCATGCACCCGTCAACTGGGGATCTGACCTGTAACCCAGGCATGTGCCCTGACAGGGAATTGAACCAGCAACCCTCTGGTTCGTAGTCCAGCGCTCAATCCACTGAGCCACACCAGCCAGGGCCAAAACTCCTTTAAAACTGTTAGTTTATCATAAAAAATGTGTTATCTTGAAAAATACAGTGTGCTGATTTCTTAAACTAGTTTATTACCAAATCTACTCCTGTCATATGTAACATTAATAAAAACCAATTTATATACATCATTTAGTTAACTGCGTAACTTAATTTTATTTCTAGGCAATTTAAGAAACTCACACTGTATGAGGCCAGGTGGGCACTTGAAATATTGGGGAACCATTTGATAAAGTATATGATAACAATATTGCTGGATACCTGAAACTATTACAGAATACCACCAAATGTGAACTATAATTGAAAACTAAAAAAAAAAAAAGAAAGAAACTCACACTGTCTTCCACATCTCCAGTCTTCCAGCCTTTCAACAGCATTTTAGACACAGGTATCTGGAGTTCATTTTCTAGAATCTGTTTAATTTCTCCTGTATAAATAAAAATATACTGAATATTACTAACAAAATAATGCAATCTGAGTTCCTTTTTTCTTTCTTTCTACCATTCTCAACAACATGGATGGAACTAGAGAGCATTATGCTAAGTAAAATGAGCCAGGTGGTAAAAGGCAAATACCACATGATTTCACCTATAAGTGGAATCTAATCAACAAAACAAATAAGCAAGCAAAATATAACCAGAGACATTGAAATAAAGAACAAACTGACAGTAATCAGGGGGGAGGGGGGAGAGAGATAATTGGGGAAATATGGGAAGGTACACCAAGGAACATGTATAAAGCACACATGGACAAAGCCAAAGATGGGTAAGCTCAAGGGTGGGAGGCGGGGATGGGTGGGGCAGAGGTCCATGGTGGGGTGAAAATGGACACAACTGTATTTGAACCACAATTTAAAAAAAAAGAAGAAAAAGAAAAAGTAAAAATTCAATAATAGTCAAAAGTTAATTAAATTAAGTTTTTATTAAAAATAAAATAAAAATAAAATAAACTAAAATAAAATAAAAATAAAATTAAAATAAAATAAAGTAAAAAATGTAAGCAACATTTATTCACATCCTGGGCTAGCATTCATATTAGACATATGGTACGCAAGTCAATGACATTTGTCTGATGAGTGAATAACAAAAATTGCAATAGTCCAAATTTCAAATCTTGATCAAACAACATGTTCATTCCCCTTTGAAGAACTCAGGCTTCAACATTAATTATGACAAAAGACTCCACAATTAAATAATTAATTAGGTAGTTACTTAATTACATAGCATTTTTTAAAGAAACAGATATCAGTGATTTGGGATTTGAAGAGAAACAATCTATTTTAAACCAATCAATTGACAACACATATATGCTCAGAATATGGTAGGAGTAGCAACTAAAGTATAAAACCTGAGTCATCATAGAATAGGGAAAGAAGACTTTGGAATGAATACTTAGATTGAAGTCACATCTTGAAGAAATCTGAAAACTTGTCTGTTCTTAGTTTTTACATCTATAAAATGTGAAATAATTATGCCTATCTTCTCTAAGTCTGGGATCCAAGGATGAAAGGAAATAGCATCAATAAAAGTAGCTGAAAACAAAAGAGCCAATAATCTAGAACACAATGTAAATTGTGTTAAATATAAAAGCAACAGAATTTCAGAAAGGAAAAAGGAAACATGTTGTTGGATCAAACACAGAAGGATCTGTGAGAGAGATGAGACTTAAATCCAGGTTGAAGAAAAACTACCGTATTTTTAGGACTATACAATGCACCAGACTGTAAGACGCACCTAGGTTTTAGAGGTGGAAAACAGGGGGAAAATTTTTGAAGCAAAAAATGTGGTAAAATATTTAATACCCTATGACCCCGCTCCACTGCCGCCCCTTCCCACAGCAAGCCAGATAAGCTACATTCAGACTATAAGACACACACCCCCTTTTCCTCCCAAATTTGTGGGGGAGTGCATCGTATAGTCAGAAAAATATGGCAAATTTAAACCACGCTTGATTTACAACTGGATTGTGAAGAAGAGATAAACCGAAGACAAGGATATTCTATTTTGTAAAGACAAAAGACTGAAAGATATAAAGGCAAAAAAATAAACATGCTGCTAATGAGAAACAGTGAGGAATCACAATTTGCCCAGTGCTCCACAAATTAATTTTCAGGAACCAAGTCTATTTATAAACCAACCAGCTAGTTTCTGTTACTGTAGTTTATTAAACAGATTGTTGAATCAAAATGTACAAATATTTCATACATCTTTTATTAAGTTAGTGCCAGTCTATAATTTTAGGTTAAAACATAATTCAATTCAAATTATAATAAATAATTAAATACTAAAAAAAATTGATTGTTAGGTATCAAAAGAGAAAAAATAATTCCACAATGATAAAGTAATAGGAGGAAAGAAAAAGCTTATGTTATATAAGCTCTATGGAAACACAGCAGGTGCCTAAGTAAGCAATGCCACAATCAAACCCTTCATGGACTTAGAGACAGTTTTGTATGTTCTTAAAGAAAATTCCTATCTGGACACTTGGGATAGTGATTAAACATCATAAAAATAAATATGGTTCAATATCTTAGAAACATAAATTTATCACCTTTAGTGTTCAAATATGTCACTGTTGACAAAGGATTGTTCTGTTTATAAAATGGTACAAAGGTGAGCCATACATTTTATACCAAATACATATAAATATGTTGCCTTTTTGCTTGTGGCTAAGGTTGCTATTTCTAGAATGGGGCTTGTCTAGAATGTGCTTGTCTAGAATGGGGCTTAAGCTCTTGCAAGTCTTCCCATTGTTTTCCTCTTAGACACCTCTGTTCACCTGATACTGCCCACTTAGACTCAAGGAGACACTCTTAGCAATGATAGCCTAAAAGAAGTTTCTTAAAGGATAAACAAAAAAGATTTTAAGTAAAAGTCTCATTACTCTTTGCAGCAAGTTTTGGTAACATGTAAAACAAATAGTCTTTTGTTCCACAGTTAGAGAGAAATAGAAAACAAAACCAGAATCATGACAGCCACCAGAACTTCTCATATTTTAAAGTCTTCTCTATTGGTCTCAATTTCTTCTGTACAGTGACTGGGGATAAGTACAGTACCAGCAATTCATTGGGTTGCTATATCAAATGACATAAGGCATGGAAATATTTTGTATTAGTATGTGTTCAGTACATATAAGGGACTCAAAAAAATGGGTGTTTTGAGTTGTACTGATTAATACATATTGATTAAGGTAATAGCACTGTAACTGGCCAGTACAGGTTCTTAATAGACAGTAGTAATTGTACCAAGGATATCCAAAATAATCTGGGGCAGTTAAGTGCTAGAATGCAGCAAGTTTCAGAGCCAGTATCCATATCTGGATCTTCCTGACTCCAAAGATCTTAACATAAGACAGCACACCCACTATGGTAGCCTCATATGTTACTTGGTGAATTGTGAAGATATGCTGATGTCATCAAGAATAATCCATTGAATTTGCAAATTATTTATCTGGTATAGGATTAACATGCAAAATATATAAAGAACTCATACAACTCAATAGCAAAAACACTAAATAATTTTAAAATGGGCAAAGGACCTGCCCACATTTTCCTAAATATATACAAATGATCATCATCACTGAGTCACGAGATAAATGCTGAGAAGGATGTGGAGAAAAGAGAATCCTTTGTGCACTGTTGGGATTGTAAATTGGCATAGCCACTATGGAAAACACTATGGAGGATTCTCAAAAAAATAAAAATAGAACTACCATATGATGTAGCAATTCCACTTCTGGGAATATATCTGAAGGAAACAAAAACACTAGGTCAAAGCGCTCCCAGGCTCATAGCAGCATTATCTATAATAGCCAAAATAACCTAAGTGTCTATCAATAGAATAAGAAGTGGTATATAAGAAGAATATATGAATGGACCTTGCAGGCATTAAGCTAAATGAAAGAAGTAAATAGAGAAAGACAAATACTGTTTATCTCACTTAACATGGAATCTCAAAAAAAGACATAAGATTTGTGGTAACCAGAGCAGGAAGTGGGGGGTAAAGGAATTGGATGAAGGTGGTCAAAAGGTACAAACTTCTAGCTATAAGGTAAGTACTGGGGATGTACAATATTACACAATGACTATGGTTACACTGCTATGTGGTATATTTAAAAGCTGTTAAGAGAATAAACCCTAAGAGTTCTCATCACAGGAAATAAAAAAACCTTTTTTTCTTTTTTGTATCTCTATATGATGTGTATCTCTATGTGATATTAGATATTAACTAAACTGATTGTGGTAATTTCACAATACATGTAAATCAAGTCATTACCCTGTACACCTTTAAACTTATACAAGGCTATATAATAATACCTCAATGAAACCACGGAAAAATTTTAAAAACATACTGAATCTAATAGCATACTTTTTAGAAAACCATTGAATATGATTTACATATAATAAAATTCGCTTATGAGTTTTGACATAAACACCATTGTAACCATCACCACAATCAAAATGAAAAACATTTCCTGTATCACAAAAAGTTTGCTCACGCATGTTTGGAAAAAAAGCTAACCTACACCCCAAGTTCTGATCTTCCTTCTCACTCTTAAATTGTTTTGTCTGTTCTCTTTTATGTTTGGGTTCTTTTGCTCTGCATGTCTTTTAAGATTCATCCATGTCACTCTGTATACCAATAAACAGTTCCTTTTCATCGCTTAGCAGTACTCCACTATAGCGCAGTAGGCAGCTGAAATGGCTTCCTATGTTCCCCACCTCATGGTATTCACGACATTTGCAATCCCCCCGTTGAGTGTGAGCTGTACCAGGGTGATTTTAACAAAGAGAATACAATAATGGTGATGAGGTGTCACTTCTGAGAATACAAAACACTGACTTCCACCTTACTAGACTGTGATTTCCATCTTGTTAGCATATCCTCTATTGCTCTCTTACTTGCTCATTCTGATGATGCCAGCTGCCTTGCTGTGAACTGCTCTATGGAGAGGCAAACATAACAAGGAACTAAAAGCAGTATTCAAGAGTGAGTGAATAAATCAGGCTCCCAGTTAAACAGCCCACATGGTAATGGATCCTAGGCAATCACATCAGAGATCCCCAAAGTGGATCCTTCTTTAGCTGAGCCTTGAGACAATTTTGACTGCAGCCCATTAGAAACCAGTTAAGCCATGCCTAGATTCCTGAGTTACATATAAACTGTGGGTAACAAATGTTTTCTTAAAAGCACTAAGTTTTAAGTAATTTGTTACAAAAAATAACTAATACATATGGTTACAGCACAATTTATCAATTTTACCGGTTGATGAACAACTAGTTTGTTACTGTTTTTCCCTATTATAAACAAATAAGCTCCAATTAACTTTATTAAATAAAACTTTTCATAAATATTGCAATGTATGTGATTTCTCTTGAGTAAATACCTAAGAATGGAATTGCTAGATTGTAAATGTATGATAACTTTA